ATCCAAGTATGAAGCAGAAGTGTCGGACTCTGTAGTATCTTTTTTTTTTCAAGCTCATCAGGATATATCGTATCGACGCAGGAATGGGAATGACAATTGTTAATTGACAATACGTCTTAGATATACATGTATCTATATGTCGAGTTGAAGGCCACAGCAAGTGTTTATTTTTCTTTTCATGCATAAAATTTTGCACCAAATGCTGCTACATGTAAATATAAAAATAGGTCTGATAATAACGTAGCGCAATTTGTACCAATGGGAATTCCAATAGATTGTTGGAAGACCTGGTCTCCAAAAACCATACATATATATTGTCAATCAGAAACTCAAGCATCTCTTTGATGTCAACTTCAGAGTACTTGTGTTTGCAATAAGAATGTGTTTTAACAAAATGATTTTGCAAATGATCAATGACCAGATAATTAAAATTTAGTAGTTCCATTTTATTGAAAAAGCAGCTGTCATTGATATTAAAATTCCTGGACTTTTATTTATCGCGGGTAATAGTTATGCATTATGTTAAAAAGTCGTAAATTTTTAAGCTGTTGATTTTGGTAAAGTCTTGCGATTTCAAATTGTCCAAATGTTCTTTTGAATTTTTGAGTATCCACATCTGATTCACACCACTTCTTGAATACTAGTATATTGTTGCACAGGACTCGAATCACGAAGTTGTTCCTTCACTACTGTTAATATCTTAGTGAGGAGTAACGAAAGAGGCTTGGTTGAACATTTACTGGAACCCACAATGTATTTTTGTTGGTAAGGATTTTTATGAAGTTTTGGAATTCAATATTTATAGGGTATTTCAAATTCATTTTTGCTTTGTGGAATATTAAAAATATTCTAAATTGACATATGATTTTAAAGAATTTCTTCCTTAGAAAAGGAAGTATGGGTACATTGTATAAGTAGGATTACCACTTGTAGAATTTTAAATCCAAGTTCTGCTAAAATACAATCTATATACATGTAATGAGCCTTACAAACGAAGACAATGTTGTTACCTTCTTTGTCGGCAGGGATCAGTACGCACTGTTCATATAATCTATGTAATTCTTTTATCACTTCAGGATTATTGAATAGAGAAGGATAGATGGTTTTCGTATTGCCCCTCAATCTTTTAATTCGCGACTTTAACACGGATCCGATACATTTAATCCATTCTGACAGAGTGTCAACGTCTTCTATTTGATATCTGGCCCATCGTCCGGCGTAATTTTCAACAGAATCCATAATATTTATGAAATTCCGATGCCAGTTGAAGGATCGGGGTTCCCTATGTTTAGGACCTTTTAAAATAAGTGATCTCAGTTTCTCATTATTAACTATATTTACGTCACCTGTAAAACGTGTCCAGCAGGACTATAGTTATAGGGCGAAGAAGAACATTAGCACGATGGATGATTATATACAGAAGTACACTTACGCGCTGTTTGAATCAACATAGTCACAGGATTTGAGTTTATAGTTACAGTTACCACTACAATTAACATAGACGTAATGTTCACCAGTCTTCAAATCTCCATTCTTATCTAAATAATTTCCATCTTTCAAAAATCGGCATCTTCCAGAAACGCCTAATAATACAGCTGAAAAGGGGAAATAAAATTTTCGATAACTATTCATACATTTAACATATTTTACATGCGCTAGTAAATGGCACATATATTTACAGGTGGTGAAAGATGTCGTTATAGGGCATACATGTAAAGATTTGTATTCATTTTATTTGTACAGTGTACATTATAAATATCTTTAAGATTGAATAAAAACATACCTATTCATTCAGTATAATTTAAGTAAATTTAAAAGATGTTTTCATGTTAAAATTAATAAACATTTACAAGGCCTCTTTTTGTCTTTTGTCATCAGCTGCTTAACAACCATTTGTAGAATTGCTGATTTCAAACCATTGCGATTCATACTAATTATTAATCGTATTAACTGTAAACAATGTCGAACATCCGTGACCTGTGTGTGCGTTTTGAACGGCAATGCCAATATCATGACCAATGTAGGGGCGTCAAACTGGTTTTACATGTTACCCCCAAAATAATTTTGTTTCCTATCTATATATTATATTTAGTTTTTTTCCTTGTTAAAAGATTTGATTAGGCCTATCTATTTAATAAAAAGACTAGCAGTAAAAATAAATAAATTATAGTTACTTTCAAGCTTTAAATGTATGATTGTTTCGCAGTACAGTTAAAGGTACTTAACGCAAACAAAATATTGATGCACGGATTGATGTATATTATTTTGACTAATTTAGATTTGAAATGACATAAAAAATAAATCCCTGAAATATAGAGAAATCGTAGAATTTCCTTGGTGCTTAAATATGAGACTTTGTTTTGCTTTCTATACAATTCCATACAAAATTTTGCCCAATTTTTTTTATTTTATGACAAAATCTAATACAATTCTCCAAATATACATGTACTTGGTAACCATTGTGGCAACGCACTTTGAAAAAAATTTCAAAGTGCGTTAAAATTGGGACAAAATCAACGCACTTTGAAATTCCAAGTTTAGTTTATAAAAATTATTTACACGCATTGTAGTTTATGAAAAGTACCGTGATCTTATATACCTTAATAGTTCTAGAGTTTATTAGTAAAAGCTTACAATGATCCATAGAGTGTATGCCTTTGCACTAGATCGATTTATTAAGACCCCCCGCATTACCCTCCGATGTGCTACAATACAAATATACGGCAGTGACAATTAAATAGTTACGTAATATACAGAATATATTCATAAAATCGCAAAGAAGACATTGAATCCAAGTTAATGCCCTATAGAATATCTGTAAATGATATTTTATCTAATTAAAGAATACATTTTTGGTTGGGAGAATAATGCTGGATCTGTCTCTCACTGCATACAAACTACTTCAAGTTTTATAAAATTACGTCACATTGACAAGTGTATTGCTATCAGTGACTTGTTTATAACTTATTATGTGGGATTTAACTAACGACAAAATAGCGTTTTGTAGTACGTTTTGATGTCGTTTGATGATTTAGTAAAGGTAAATTAGCAAAGCACCTCATTTTGCGGTATTTTAAAGAATCGTTGTATGACGTATACTTTGTATAATGCCATATTTAAGTTTTCCCGTACAAATTAGGCTCCGTCCCCTTTTTGTAACCTTTACTGTGCTGCGTTGTAGTTTTACATCGAACTCAAAATGAAATACCAGTGAAAATGCTTAACATCTAGACAAGTATTAAGAGACAGGTACATTTATCAGCGAGGGATCTTTATCGTGCAAGCGCATTCCGTGAAAATGGGCCTCGGTCACCAGTATTGAGATCTTATCCGAATGACTTTCATTATCTTTTTTGTATCGACTTTCAATTTCTTTTTTGTGTCGACTTTCATAAATGTCGGTCATCATTGAACCTACGACATTTTAATATTCAAGCGAGTGCTCTGCCGACTGATCCACAGTAAAGGTTTAAATTTCAAGGAAAAAACTCTGTGTAGAATTTTTCTCCGTGTTTTATTTTCATACATTCAATTTGCTGAATGATAATAACATGATAATATCAATGCTACAAATCAAGAAATCTTTCAATCTTTTGAAATAGAAGACACAATTTCATGATTGAATAGATTTTTTTATCCTTAACAACCAGGAAAAAGGTAATGATCTTTACCTGACATTGACTCTAATATAAAATGTCAAAACTAATCTAACATAGTCTTCTTGATTTGGTGAAAATTTTAATAATTAAAAAAAAAATAAGAAATACAGTGTTGTGAGAGAAGAATCCGACCTTAAAATTCTTTGCTGTGTTTTCTTCTGAGTGAGAAGCGACAAAAATCAACGCTTAAACTACATAAATGCAGTTAAATGTTTAATAAGCCAAATGAAGCACTTCTTTTTAAACTTTTTATCTTTTTAACATAAAATTGAAATAAGCATTTGCTTATATATCATTATGGTTGTGATAAGGCCATTTTTTGTGTATCAACATACTTGATCTCTTCACTTTTAAGTTTTGAGCCGATTTTGTGAAACACTTTCTTTTTACTTAGCTTTTGTAATTACTAATATTGCAATAAGACCTTTCATGACCTGATGACATTTGAGTTTGACCCATGTGAAACAATTATCCTCGAATATAGATATTTATCATTCCCATTTGTCGATACCTCTTTATGAATGCCAGCAATTTTTGTCTTTTGACTTTGAACCTGGAATATGACCTACTTTTGATAAACATAACATACACATTTTACTTTTACAAGAATTGTGCTAGAGTTTTAATACTTCGGATGTATTCTTCTTACGACTGGCATTTGAAAAAAAAACATTTACTTCAGCTGAAAGCTATCATAGAGGAGCAAGAGCGTTTTACAAACACTACTTGTTTCATCATGTAACTGCTGCTGGACTATGACAATGACATATTCATCTTAAAACATTAGTTAATAAAATTAATTTTACTTTAAATGATTTTTTGTATATAGATGTTAATATAAACAATAGCAAGATTTGTTTGTTAGTACGGTAATAAATGTCGCAGCAATGACAGAAAAAAATTACATAAACAGCGCCAGCGGTTTATGTATTATTTCTGCATTAGCTGCGATTTTAGTTCCTGTACTACTTACCAAAGAAAGCATTAAATTATTCAAATAAATCGCATAGATAGTAAAAAAGTCATCAAATCACTTCTTTATTAATGAAAAAAGTCAAAATCAATTTCCTTATCAACAGCAGTAAATTCAGTGTTGGCTAATTGGTGCTCTTTTATCAGATAAATGCTTAATTTAAGCTGAAAGCTTTGCAAAATTAATTTTTAAAAGGCATAACATTGTATGTGCTTTACCACTTGAGTTAATTACTTTGAATGTAGTTTTCACTCTTCTATACTGTATTTTGTCTGTACTGTTCATGTAGTAAACGATTTTATATATATTTTATAAATGCAAAAAATTTGTACTTTACCCAAAGGTTTGTAAACATGTAAGGAAATATATAAATTACATGAATTTATGAATGTATATGTAAATGTATATACTATTATGGCAAATAAAATTCAGAATTAACAACCTTCCAGCACCTTTTTATAAGTAAGAGAATAATTTCATTTAATTTATATAATAAAACAATCATTATAAATTCGTTAATCATTTGATTGGTGCCATTTTAGTGCAGCAGTAAGAAAACTGGTAATTCGCCGCCATGTGATCACGAGGTCAATAAAGGACAATAAAAAACCTCCTTATCATAATACCTGATAAAAAAAACTCTTATCAATTGATAAATAAAAATATAGATTGAAAATTTGAAACATGCTTAAAAAACAGGATATTTTTGATACAATTTGTGCTTTTGGACAGCCTTTGTCTATCCTCCAAAGTATTTAAAAATAAATCTAGTAGATATTTACATCGTATTAAAAAGAAAATTGTTATAACAATGACCAGCAGGAATACAGAGTAGTATTGGAAAACAACCTTAAATACTGATCGCTATATATTCACAAAAAACATTTCAGAGACCTTTCAGCAGAATCTGCTAACTATTTAAAATAATAGTTTTTCGAAAGGCAGACTGCATAAACAACAAATAATTTTAATAGGGTATATTAATAACTTGTGTAAAACAGGTGAATTATAGTTTGCATATTTATAGGAGAAGACGTCGTCGATTTATTTGATCATTTTATGCCAATTCTTTTACTGGGGTTTAGGGATGTTTTCATTCATTGTAGAAACTGTATACACAGGCTGTTGAACTCCGACTGGATACTGCGTTGTAGCTGTAGAATAAGAAAAAAATATCTGTTTTAACTCCCTTTTTAAACAATGGTCACTCAAAATGTATAGAAAAACATGCACCACGTTTACAGCATCTGCTTTAGTGTCTTTTTTTAAAGATATATACATTACCGCATGTAAACCTCATTTTATGTAAGATAAAACGTTTCAAATAAATATATTTTAAGGAACGCACTATTGTTGTATGCGACCGTTCTGTTTCCAGGATGACTGGTATAGATAACTTGACCAGGACTTCTACGTTGCCTAGCACAAACACAAGCCACCACTACACAAATAGCGACCAGTATTGCCAGGCCAGCTAAACCACCGACGACTGCACCAATAATGGCTCCAACACTCCTTAAATGGTGTAAATAAGAAATTATTATCAAAGGTCCAAATACACACTTTATATTAGTTGAATACAGTGAAATTGTAAGAAATACACTTACACACTGCTTGAAACGTGGTAAACATAGTCGCAGGAATTGCTTTCATAGTTACAGTAGCCGCTGCAGTAAACATAGTTGTAATGTATACCTTTCTTTAACATTCCATCATCGTCATCATAATAATATCCATATTCCAGAAATCTACATCTTCCTGAAACGCCTAATAATACAGCTAAAAAAAAAGAAAAGAAAATTTTCGATGATTTATCAATACATGTGACATATTTTAACATGCGTTAGTAATGTCACACATGTTTGCAGGTGGCGAAACGTGTAAATTATGCCATTAAGTGTACATATACATGTTGACCTTGTATTCATTTTACAAGTACAGTGTACATTATAAATATCTAAATTTAATTACGAACATGTAAATAAAGGCGTCTTTCCGTCTTGTCATCAGCTGCTTTACAACCTTTTGTAGAAATGTCGCTTTCAAACCATTGCGATTCATATTAATTATTAATTGTAAACAATGTTGATCTTCCCTGATTTCGGTGTGCCTTTTTATATAACTGGCAATGCCAATATCATGACAAATCTGAATCTGGAGGGGAATTAGCATGTTACACCAAAAAAAAAAAAAACAGAATTCTATCTATCTATTACACTTAGTTTTTTTGTTAAAAGATTTGATTATTTTATTAAACAAAAGGGCATCATGATTGTAGTTTTAAAAGTTAAGTTAAAGGAGACAATGTGTTACTTTCAAGAGTTGAATATTTGATTGTTTGTTGTTTTACATCCAATTTCAAAATTATAATCCGGTGGAAAGCTTTAAAATTTGTAAAGTACTTGCACGCAGGCACATTTAGCAACGAGGGATCTTTATCGTGCAATCGCATTCCCTGATAACAAGCATCGGTTATTTAAATGTCATATGAATGATTTTCACTATCTTTTTTATATAGACTTTCACTTTCTTTTATTGTGTTGACTTTCATAAGCGTCGGCCATAGTTGAACCTAGCTACGACATCAAGCGCTCTACCGACTGAATCACAGTAAAAGTTTTTAATTTCAGGGCAAAAAGTCTGTGTAGACATTTTTCTCCGTGTTTTATTTTCCATACATTCAGTTTGCTGAATAATAATAACATGATAATATCATTACTAAAACTCAAGGAATCTGTATAGTTAAAATTCTAATAGTTGTGTTTTTTTTCTGACTGATAACGACAAAAGATCAACGTTTAAACTATGTTAATAGTTTAATGTTGAATAAGCTAAATAAAGTATTTCTCTATGAACATGTTTTTATCTATCACAATAAATAAATACACTAAACATTTCCACAAAAAATATGATCAATGTAGTTGTGATAAGGTCGTTCTTTTGAGTACCTCTCCATTCTTTAACCTGGTTATTTTTTAAATGCCAACAATTTTTACCTTTTGACATTGACCCTGCACATTGACCTATTTTTGACAAAGCGAAAGTGTTTACCCTTAATTGGATGGTGCTAGTGCTTTCATTCTTCATATATTATATCGTATACTGCATATGACTTACATTTGATAAACTTAATCTTAACTATAGCTGAAAGCTGTCATACACAGACAGGACTGTTTTACAGTCAATTTGCCTTTATCCTGATTAACGTTGTCGTATATCAATTACAAAGGTAAGAAATAAGATATCTCTTGTAGAGTTTGATCGGGATATGACATGAAAATGGTCACTTGATCAAATTCTTGAACAACGGACTTGCGTTATAGTAGATTTGATCACCATACCGACTTAATTTATGTCTTATGCTAGTTAAAGATCATTGTGTATTTCTCATTTTGCGCGTTGTTTTAAAATTACACAATAAATTACACAATAAAAAACTTTGCATGTATGTGTAAATAATTAATGTAATATTTAACATTAAAAAAAAACAAATGAAAACATGTAAGGTATTTCGATCGCAAACGCCTATCACCACATATACCGGTATCTGAATTTGGCCTACTTTCTTTTTATTTACATAACAGCATGGGTGTGTGGATATATTTAAAGCGTTTCCTCAAGATATAAGTTGACCTGTTTTACCTGAAAAAAAAAAAACCCTGCAACTTTGCCAGTTAAGGGATGTAAGCTGTTACCGACAGAGAGGGGTCTTTCATTTTATTTTCAATAAGTCAGAAGAAATAGTTTACGTGCATAATATAATCTCATTCCAATCCTAGTATTTTACTTCATTTAGGTAAAAATTATCCCAATATAACAAGGATTGTATAACCTAGTATAGTTTTATAATTATATTCTAAGAAATAAAAAAAATCAACTGAGTCAGAAACTTACCTGAAAATACAAAGAAAAAAATAACTCTCATAGCGTGCTACAAAAAGGTGTCGAGGTTTATCGTTCTTGTTTTAAATGCGCAGTTCCTATCGTGAAAATAAACACACGAATTTATTACGTAGAAAAAAAAACTATTGATGAACACACAACAAAGAAGTTTAACTTAAACAATGAACTTAACCATGGCTTACATCGTCTATCCTGAAAAAGACCAGAAAATGAGTCTCTTTACTATACACAAACAGAAAAAAACAAAACAAAAATAGAAAGAAAAGAAAAGAAAAAAGCATTGCAAAAGTTACTGCAGAATCAGAAATCAAATACAGAGACATTAAAGTTCCAAGGACAGAATATATTTCTAAATTATGGCAGTGTTCAAGAGACCTTGGTCTTAAAAAAATAAATTAGGAAAGTAAGAGTGTCTGTTTAAAAATTGATGATGAAGTTTGTCACGAACCAAAAAAATGATGCAAATCATTTTTGTCAATATTGCAGCTTCACTGATAAACAAACTATCGAAAACTCTAAATATTTTAGTGTGAATAGTGAATGTTATAATTCTTTTTATTACAAAAATGATAATCTTTTTTACCCTTAAAACAGCCAATGAAGAAATGAAAGTGTTGTTTTAAACATATGGAGAAAACGAAGATCAAAAGTCCATAAAACAATATAAAATAGGAGCAGAGCCAACACGGACGTCCAAAATATCAGAGGTGGGATCAGGTGCCTTAGAGGAGTGAGCATCCCCTGCTGACCGATCACACCTGCCATATGCTCCTTGTCTAGGAAATTAGGAAATTACATGAGAAAAATTCGTCGTCATGCAATTCAGTGTATAAATAATGGACTAGTACATGTAATTAGTATGAAAAACGTCAATCACAATATATTATGAAATTTAGATATATCGACGACGTATTATCAATTAACAAGGGAATCTCCCTTTTTTATGTCGATACGGCATATCCATCCAAGTGAGCTTTAGAAATTATTCCACTGAGTCTGACACCTCTGTTTCATATTTTGATATTGTACTTGACCAATTCGTGTTTCGACGTAATCACTGCTCTGAGAAAGAAATCATAAATGGAAAACTATTGCCCCCTTCAAGAAATGTAGTTCTTCAAAAGGGCCAAAAGATTGGATGAAATGCAATCTAAACACATTACTTACCAAGAAAAAATTGTTTTCCCATATCAATACATTGAAAACACTTGAAATTTAAATGAAGCAGCTAATGACTTCATTGATAGTTATATGCAGTTGTCAATTTCCTAAGATTCTGCCAGAGCGCAGAATTAAAGTTTAATAATCTGATTCATAGCCGCCGTATAAACACTCGTGATCTGTAATGCATGAGATCTGTAAAAAAATATCTCGAGATCGAACTGATAACAAATAAACGCAGAAGAATAATTTGTCTCTTTGGTTCGATTGCAGACAATATAAATTACATGTATCAGTTTAAGATGGTATACAAAGAATTGTAAGAATACATGTAAAAGCAATATGTAAACGGTTATGTAACTGTTATGTTTACAAACATGTATGCGCTTGTCTGGTTATCAAAGCGGGCATTCTCTAATATATATGTTTTGTTCTGAAACCGCAGATAAGACCCCTCACTGCAGCAAAAGTGACCTACTGCATGCATGGGCAAACTCAACTTCTGATTCAACACTCTCCTACCTTTGTGTTGGGAATGATGATTGGTGGTAGAATACGCTCACTCCTCTATGGTTCCTGATCTCATCTGTGATGTTTTGGATGTCCAACTTTGCTCTACTCTTATTTTGTAGTAGTGTATGGATTGCTGAGCCTATATATTGTTTGTTACCTCCATATGTTTCATTTTTAATTTTTTCTTAAATAATGAGTTGTAATCGATCAACATAACCTTTTTTGGTTTTATCTTATTGTACCTTCTACACAAAATGAAGCAAAGCTGTAAAGTTACAAATAAATGTATCCTCTGCAATCCTAGAGGAACCTGGATGTAAGGTTAAGTCATTCACTAGATATTTTGTACACAGTTACATTGCATTTTGAGTTGCAAATAGGAATACTCATTACTTTTTGGATCAATTAAGAATAAGAAAAAAAGATCAGGTTATAAATTAATTTGAATAAAGGGTGAAAATAAAAAAAAATATTTATACATTGTTTTCAATTTTGATCATTTATATTCTTTAAACATATTAAAATACCTGTTTAGTTTTCTCAATCAGGTTGAATATTTACCTTGAATATGTTCCATTTAAATGGTTTTAATGTAGGAAGTCCAATCTTAATTAATTGTGATTGTGGTAACGATATAGCTAGAGAGAATAATAGGAGACTATATGCTTTTACCAAACAAGATTTTAGATTTCCAAATAAACTCTCCAGCAAGGGGAAAAGACCTGTGTATTTATAACCAATAAACAACAACATATCCCGCGTTCTTCTTTTAATTCTTGGGATTAAATCAAATGAGATTTGTATGTTTTGAGCGAACTAATTAGCAGTAATTATCTTAAGTACATTATTAAAGTTCCAGCTCAGATATCACAGTCAACTTCAGAAACCAATAAAAGAAAATTTAATACGTTTCTCTCAGATTAAATAGTTCTGCAAGGCATCAATCTGCCCATTAAAACTGTCGTAGACAATCTTTTTCTATTAATATTTCAGCACTCTAATTTCATACCAAGTGTCTATTTCTATCAAGAAGTTTTACCAAAGATGAAATACCAAAGTTATCACATGTATATTTTCCTAACTGTGCCGATGTGTTATTGCAATGTTCATTACTTTCAACGGCGTTTTAATCTAAAGGCTTAGGGTCATTGTCAGACAACTTTCAAGTTTTGTTTTCGGCTGAAGGAACGTCATTCTCGACCGTCATCAACAAATGTGCCGGATTTTGTAGCGGCGACCGACGCTGTATTGGGATGGAGTTGTGTACACTAAGAGAAGGCCTGCACAGATACAGAGTCTGCTGTGAGTGGTTACGATTAACAGAAACGCCTTATTATGTTCCCCAAACGGAGTTTGGGAACATATTGTTTTTACTCGGTTTCTTATTATTATTATTATTAAGGTCTTCCGTCTTCAGCGGAAGACCTTCTTGTTATTCGTTTGTTTCTTTTCCACTCTTTTTAGGGTCTTCCGTCTCCAACGGAAGACCCTTCTATTATTCTATTGTTTCTTTTTCACTTTTTTTCTTATTATTAGGGTCTTCCGTCTCCAGCGGAAGACCCTTCTATTATTCTATTGTTTCTTTTTCACTTTTATTATTAAGGTCTTCCGTCTTCAGCGGAAGACCTTATTGTTTTTCTTCGGTTTCTTTTTCACTTTTATTATTATTTTTTTTTTTCTTACCGATTTTGTGCACGCGATTTCTCAAAAACGGCCATACAAAATCTAATGAAACTTTCAGGACTTATGGAACATTACTTGAACCTTATGCGTTTTTTTCCGTTTCGATGACGTCACTTCCGGTCTAGAGATATCGTCGATTTTCTGATTTTTAAGGGTCATTTTGTCCACAGTTTTCCCGAAAAACGGCTCTAGATAGAAACTTCAAACTTTGAGGTTAGGTAGAGCTAAGTTTGGAAAGGTGCATAAGGTATATAAAATTTACCGGAAATGACGCACGTCGGCGCTCGCTATAGCCCGAAAATAGTCGTATCTTGAATTTCAAATTTTTTACACCTTTTCTACGATAATTTTTTACCTAAAAAAATTTTGTTAAGACATATTGAACAAAAGAAGTGTAGAATTCCTAGACCTTTCAAATGATATCTCGAAAAAAGGGCTAGCCCCTAAATTCAGGGGCCTGAAGGGGCCTAAAATTTTTTCTTTATATCTCAAAATCTATAAAGAATTTTAAATACATCAAAGAAGCAAAGTTGTTCAAAATGTCAAGCTTAATGTATTGGCGTCGTCAAAATTCGTCCGGCGATGTCACTTCCGGCCAATCCGGAAGTAGTCGCAAAACGCGAATTTAGCTGTTCTTGACACGTTTTTAGGTAACAGATGTCTCTGGGACAATAAAAATTTATTTTCCGTCCGTCGTCGTCACTTCCGGTCACACCGGAAGTAGCAAAAATGGCTTATTTTTGCATTAATTAACATAGCTTTAGAGGATTCAAGCTATTTCTGGGCGTTATTTCTCACTTTTGTTAAAAATAAAATCTACTTCCGGTCAAACAGGACGGAAGACCTACTCGTTGCTTTGCAACGAGCTCGGCTCTAGTTATTATTATTTTTTTCTTTACACATTTTTGTGCAGACGATTTCTCAGAGATGCTTGGGTCGATTGACTTGAAATTTTCAGGAATGATGTATCATGAACTAAACCTTATTCATATTTTTTATTTTTTGAAAAATCTCTTCCGGTCGGAAGTTATCGCCCTTTAATCGAATTTTAAGTGACCATTTTGTCGACACAAAAACTCAAAAATGACAAAAGCTAGAATGTTGTCCTTTTCAGGACTAATAGATGACATATTGTAGTTTTGCACCTATACTTTCAAGTCTTCCGGAAGTGCCTAGTATGGAAGCTCGGTAGGGGTCAAAATATAGGACACGAATCATGACTGATTTTTTGAGACTTTTTCCATTATATCTCTTAAAATATAAATATTTTGTTAAAACATACTGAACAATATTTGTGAAGAATAACAAGATCTTTCATATGATATCAAGAAAAAAGTGCTGACTTATCACATTAAGGACACAGAGGGGCCAAAAGTCTTAATCCAATAACTCTTTAGCAGTCAATATTTTGTTATACATTACTGAAGCAAAAATGTTTATCTCAACAATCTTCAACTACACATAATAATTTTTTTGTCTTATACTACATAATCAGGGGCCAGAAGGGGCCAGAATGCTTAATCTTCGACGCTTTATATCTCGAAATTGAGAAATATTTTGATAAGTAATATTGAACAAAAGATGTTCAAAATAACGTTCTGAACAATACGCAACCTTTCATTTTTCTCTAAACGTCCCCATTAGGGAGTTGAAGGGTTGGCCCCTAAATATTTCTTTTGCAAAAAACTCGAAAACGAAAGAGAATCTCTGAATA